GCTAGTAAGTAATTTATCGGACGAAGTAAGAATGAAGCCACCAAACCCGTAAAATAAACAGTTTGGTCGAAGGTCAAATTGTCGTCATTATGATTGATATATATCTGATTTGGGAAGTACATAAATGACATGCTTCAAAATGAAACATGGACTGCTCTAATATAAATATGTCCCGTAAAAGTTAGACTCGTGCTACAACCAGGAAAAAAACCGACTTCAACTTCGCTATAGAAGAATTTATTAACTCTTGCACAAACGTCAAAAATATACGTTTGAGTGTTTAGTGAACAAAGCTAATATATGTGTTACAATTTTCTTTTGGCTATGTCTCCAATACAAGTGACAAGTTGTGTTTTTAAGTGATCGATCCCCGACTCAGTCGTGTTGTAAAATGTACGTAGTACATTTTGATCCTATGTCGAAACCCAAACGTTTATCATCCCTGATACCACAAAAATGTCAGTTGTGATCTCGACTCGATGGGATCATCGTTCAATGATCCCACAATTCCATGCAAGTGATCTCTAATCGCATATCTCTATTTATTGAGGGTATCAGTACTAGATCCACTTTTTACATACATTTTATAGAATAATGGTCAAGGCCCACGGAAACACATGTATTCTGTATTCATGTGGCCACATAGACGCTTGAAGTCATGTACCGGAAAATAAAAACAGCGCATTATATAGACTATACCACAAATTTTGCGAAATATGCTCTTTATCTCAAAACAAAAGCCATCAGGATGCCTTGTAGGATGCTAAGAAAGATAACGAGTCCCAGCCCAGCCATCAGAATCGACAGATGGGCCGACCCGACCTCAATGTACAAACTAAGCAATTAGCTTTAAAGCCACTTAAAATAATTGACTGGTTGATAAAAATTTTGAAAAAAAAGGACATTGATAAACAGATTTTGACGGACTATACTACAGCAAGAAACAGACTAGGGAACCGACGACGAAGTGATGACTCGATGTCGTATCAGCCATCCTAAAAAGCCTGCCCTTTCATTTTGTAAACTTTAACATGTTCTTGTTCACATTTCCCAGATAAATGACTCATCATTTACAAAAAATGCGGAAGAAATGAGATTTCAGGTGAACCGTAACCACGTGGCATTAAGAAGCACCACGTGGACGCTAAATTCTCATCATTCCTTGTACAGCCAGGCGGCTCATTCCACGCAGTGACGCTTTGTGGACGGTTTCTGAACAATTATTTTTAGATCTTTGAAATGATAGCCTTTACCTTCTCGTTTGCAAGATAAAGTTAGACAGAATCGTTTACAAAGACAATGGGCAAGGATTCAAAACTGAGCCATGGTATTACGTCTATAAATATATCATTCGCCAATAATAAATAAAAATTTGAATCTATAAATATAAAATTCCGTCTTTTGGTCTTTAATTTCACAAAGCATTTATTTGCGTGAAGTGCGCCTCACAAGGTGGTTGATAAGAAGCTTTCCCAACATTTACTGAGAACGCCATTATCMTTAAACAAAAATCAAAATGGTAAATCTATAAATAGGTTTTTAGTTCTATAATGATACCAAAATTCGCACTGAAAAATTATGACGAAATTTTTAYAGGAAATTACTTATCCAAACATTATAACAGTTCCATTTTAAGCATTACGTAATGTTGAAAAATAAACATATGAGAGGTTCTGCCTGACGTCATAGTGAAGCACGTTTTTCTTGATGTCGGCGGACATGCATGTGTTTATTGACGTCATCTAACATGGGAAAAAATCATGAGTGATCATGAATTGGCACTCCGATGCTTCAAGTGCTTCAGCTATCAATCAAACATCCAATGACTCGTACTTGAGGCTAAAGTACTCAGCTACGCATCGTCACCATTCGATTTGACACTGACTCGGTTTTGGACAACTTGGTTGGACTTCTCTGTCAGGGATCGTAGTGTTCCTTGAAGCTGATTATAAATAGTGATCAACATTATAGACTCCTTTTACAATAAGATGAACTTTCAGGTTTAACCTGAGAGCGACAATCGAAGCACACAATAGGCGTAAGAGTTTTGTTGTTCAGATGATAGTGTCCTAATCATCAGATTTTCAGGTTTTTTTCCTCTTAATCATACAGCATTAAAGCAACGCATACTTGGAAAGAGGTACTGTGACGTGTCAATGGTCCAAACGACGCCGGAAATTTTCAATTCCACAAAATTCTTCTTACTATTACGCGCTGTATCCACATGWCTGTACCCGGAAATTTTCGTCATCTATCTCAAAAGAGYGGAAAACGCTTCGATGACGAATACGTAGAGACGCGAAAAGTTTTGTTTCCGCAAAAACAAGATGCAAAAATTACCGGTAKAGTGTGAACAAGGCCTCAGATGCCGACACAATACATCGCTGTCGCAAGCGTAAGCGTAAGAACAAGTCATAAGGCCAAGCGTAAGCGGACAAAGAACGAAGAAAAATCATGTTGAACTGAAACTAGTACGGCTGTGTCTTATCAATCGTATCTGTCGTATGAGATTTCGAATGAGAATTCTGTTTTAACTAGTATGATTGTCATATGGAAAAACACACAATGCTTCCATCAAGTTTGTAGCAAGAAATGTTCATAGGGGAAAGATTTGTYAAACTGTCGAGATTGATTGCATAGACTCCTTKCAGGTTGGAGCAGAGTTCYATCTTGAGGACAATGGATTGTAGAAACCAAGAGGGTAAACATGAAGATGCTTTGACGTCATATGCAAGGCGTCTGTTTGGAAATAGGCTGAAGAGGGAAGACCAACGGCGCAATAAAACTCTCTGAAAGCCCGTTGGATATTTATCTTAAAGACAATAAAAAGCAACATCTAATAATTAAAAATGGTGAAGTGTATTAAACTTAAAATGCACAATTTATTTCGCAAAGTCCTTGCTTGCTTCGCAAATATTTGTTGCAATGCAAATTGCGCAAACAAAGTTCACAAATAGGAACTCAGTATCTTTGTTAAGTCTGGACCTTGTACCCGGGTAGCGGTGTATGCCCGTCAGTATTTTCGCCTRAAACATCAAATGTGCAAAGTTCAGAATCCTCGTGCAGARGACACGTGAACCGTGCTGATGCACCAAATGTGAACAGTGCTATAGTCAATATTCAAGATTAAGAAACCTGTATAGGTTGAAAAAAGCACATTTTAAGGTTTTGCATTCAGTTGTATAATGCAAAATCAAATCATCTTTTCAAACCGCGCTAGTTAGGGAGATTACAAGACGCTTTTGAATGTTCGTGTACCTTTAGTGGTCCACATCTAGCATTATGTCATTATGTTGCCCCCTGCAGTAGAAACTAGGCATATCAGCTAGGACGCGATGGTACACATTATGGTAAAAAAGTGCGGTCAACTTGTAGTATCTCATGTTCTTAACTCATGGAATGCATCTGTAGTTTGCCGTTGCCAACATCCAGGCACAACTGTCATATTTCTTRCATTCCTGCGCTCTATTCTTGCGTATTAAAACATCAGTGATTTTAAGCAAGATTTCTTTTGCTCGATTGCTATGTTCAAGAACGTTCGTAAAGTGTGCGTTGAACCTCTTGATCATGTAAATCGCAGGCTTGAGTTGCACGATTTCGCAAGAATGGCGCGTCGTCCTTAAATGTTGTGACGCGAAGCTATACATGCGTTGGTTGCAGACATGGCTAATTAAGAGACTAGTCATCAAAATTTTCCAATCGTCATTTTCACGGAAACTTCGCAGCCCGGCACATCAGATGTGAAATAAACATTTTGCAACCCGACCACAGTGTGAAAGTTGGAAAGTGTTGTAGTTGCTGTTTTCACAAACATTGGGATGCTCTTTAGCATTAGACTTTTTTTTGAGTACGATTGCATGCTTTGCAAGAAACTTCATTTAACTTCTCTAATCCCAAAAACAATGAACAAGGAAACAGAACATAGACGAAGAAGAATACATAAGCCACAAGTTTTTCAAAATATCTGCATGAATTCTTGACAAGGKTGACAAGAATTGTCATTCAAACAGTATTCAAACCACACAACCAATATCAAACAATAAATAAAACAATTTTGAAATGTTTGGAATATCATGTACCTGGAGGGAACGAACTGAAGTCTTTTGCTAATGGYCAAACTCGTGTGGAAACCGACAGTACAAACCTGAAAAATCCGTCTCAAGAACTGAACCATGAACATGCTGCTTGTTTTTAGGAACGAATCAAAGCAAGTACAGAATTACGATTTATGCACGCACACAAAAAAAAATTTCGGTCACTAATTGGTCACTAATGGACAAATTTTATGACAATTTCGCTGGATTTCTGAGTGACACAATCAAGAGTATATCATTACTTGAAGACTCAAGACACTTTCATAGATACTTTTCATAACATCCACCCAAACCCCCGGGCCAAAACCATTTTTTTTTTCTAAAGAAAAAGATCCCTTTTCATCACGAAATTCACTTGAACATCCTGCGAATACAGTGATAGCTACTCTTCACGGTTTTCTGCTTGGTTGGAACAGGAAGCAAAATGTACAATGTAATATTATTGTGGTTACGACGGAGCAATGAAATAGGCTAAAGAGTATCCGGAGGTCGCTCAATCAATAAAASAACACACTTTCCCGCTCATTTTGCCACCGAACCGCACGCGGCCCGGAATCAAACTGATTTGCATTCAAATACGCCCACGTACTGCTTCATAACTGTAAAATATTTACTTTAATCATGTGATGTTTTCGGAGCTTCAGCAAGTGTTGACAGATTGTTGCTACTCCATCGTTGTGTATTGAAATCTTTCCGGTGAAAGCACTCCTTGATTGACAAGGAAATAAAGGCGTGGAGTGCATTAATAAGGATGTACAATTAATGGGCTACTCTTACAATTTTGGCAATTTGTCAGTTCCTTTGTAAAGTTTTCATCCATGAATTGTGCACCATCAGCACAAATCAGCCCAGAGAGTTATTAACAGAAAGGCACTATTTGAAAAACGATATTTTGTATTTTGATCAATGAATTTCTTTTACAGACGTTAGACAATGCAAAAATACTTGACATGGTTGCGGTCGACCAAGGGATAGCGACAGATATCAACAGTTCTAAACTTCACGGTCGTCATGCCAACTATGTCAAAGAATGACGTCATTAGCGAGAAGGTATGTAAGGCCGGACGCGTAACCTGTCCATTTTATTCAAAATCTTTCATTGTAGATTACACGATGCCGTCAATGGACACATTTGCTTGATAACATCGATTGTAACACGTTTTTTCCTGCTTTTGTTGTGTCTTACTTTATGACTGTACAACACCAGTGGCAAAGAGCGTGAGCTACGAAACTCATTCAGTGATTGGTTATCGTGAATAAAGACCATTTCATCTAGATTTTACCTAGCACGTCCATTCGTTTTGGCACATGAAAGTCGTCTCCTAAAACCGAAGCTTCTCGTGGCTACGGTCAGTGATTGCTCACTCACCGTGTAAATTCCTTTCGCCGTGATGCTGGCTCATTCATCACCTATAATTAGATACGGGCGAGAGAGGCCGGTATAAAAGACATGCCACACTCGCGTACTCAAACAAACACGCTGCTGTGTCATCGCAAACCAAAACATTGTGAAAAGCAAAAACATAACTATGGGAAAATCAGTGAATCTACCGGTCCCAGTACTTGGAAAATGGAGAAAATTACAGGACACTAGAGATATATACGATATCTTGGGATATCTAGTACAGATTCCACTTCAAATTCTGTTTATGTTGGGAACTTTATGCCTTGCGTTACAGATTACATGGAGAAAATTTCGACCACCACTACACGGCGCTAAACCACAGATAGTACAAGATGAAGAGGTTCACGAACCTCYGCGAGAAATTACTCTTAAGGAACTGGAGAGTTTTAATGGTATACAAAAAGACAAAATATATGTAGCAGTGAATCATCAAGTTTTTGATGTTACATCGGCCTGGGAGTATTTTGGACCCGAAGGACCCGATTCATCGCTCGCCGGACGGGAGGCAAGTCGCGCACTCGTGAAACTAACCTTACAGAAAGACAACTCGAGGATGGATAACTTCTCAGATTTTAGCTCTATACAACTTGATTATTTATTTGAACTCGAGACTCAATACCGTGAAAGATACCACCATGTGGGGGAACTAGTCGAAAAAAAGCAACCACAGCAGTTACAGAAATTATGTATTGAAGTTATTCGAAAGTCCCTTCAGAGAAGAAAACTCTCCAGCTCTCCAGACGAACAAGTCAATGAGTTACCGCTTCCTAAGAGACTTCAACAAGAAATAATCGACTTCTACAGAATTATAAAGGACTAAAAACTGATTTTTTGACAAAAAAGAAAAGGCTTTACATACTGTAAATATTTTGTATATAACGTGGGAAGAATTTTGTACATTTGATAAAATAGTTCGAAAAATTTGACAAGATATGGAAACAAGGTAATTGAACATAGTATTTTATTAAGAAATCGAGTGCTTGTAAATATATAGATATRAGTCGACTGGTTTTCGACTTAAAAGCAATGAATTTTTGTTATTACATAGATGAGAGTTGTTATAATAATCTTTGTTGAGCAAAGTGGAAAAAAGAATGAAAAAAATGAAATTATAATTTTCTTTAAGAAAACCTAAATGGATCTTTATTGATATTTGACATACTGATGATCCTGCTATATTAGATCTCGTAATTTTACTATATGCGGGATAGATGTAGGCAGCCAGGAACATTATTTGTAACCSAGTCAGAACTAGGAGAAGCATGTGATGATTACAAAACAAAATAAACAATAATTCAAAAAAGGGATGCAAAGTTTGATGCTATTATAATATTTATGAAAGTGAACCATTGATCATGATTATCGTATTTTGTTTTATCTTATCAATGATAACAAATATAAACAAACGTGGATGTTGAAACTACGGCTAAAGTAGGTTCTAGTAATGTTCCATAATAAGCCAAAACATAAGACCACACATTTGGAGCTAAATTACAATTTTACATAAAAACACAGAAATTTCTAAAGGATCAAACTAAATAAAATAAACWGTGAGACATTTTTACGGATTTTAGTCTTTAAATATTGGAAAAACAGTCCGGTTGTCACTAAACTGGATTCTTTGACCCATCAGAAAACTACGCTTGAAGGTAAGAAAATATGCACCTTCGGTATAAATCTTCTTATCAGACAAGAGGCTATGTCAGGCTGTAGGCTAAGTCACGATTTTCCAATTCAAATGTTTTGAACAAGGCGAAAGCAGAATGAAAATGTAGGGAAAAAAGTAATATATGTTGAAAAAGTAGCTCGATAACACCATCAATGAAGATGTCGCGACAGTATGCCGATCAAAACATACTTCAAGGAACTACAACATTCTCGAATGGCGCCAAAAATTCTAAGCCTTCATGGCCATTGCTGAAAAATGACGGCAGATTGTTTTTATTTGTTTTTGACCTTCAGTCATTTATTTACAAAAAACTATCAATTTATACAAGTGTCATTAGACTATTAGACTACGAAGTCRCCCACAATTAGGATAGTTGCCTAATCTTGTCGCTGACCAAAACAAAAACTTGGAATTCCAAAAATGTCTCCATTTTGTTCAACGCACAAAAAAACAAACATGCTACCTTCTTTTGTATAGCATTCAGTCGAAGCCTAACCCCACCACAGTCAAGATAGAACGAAATGGTGTTCTKTACTTTGCCGATGAAATAAATGTGGATATAAAGGCAGATTTTTGTGGACATTTATACCAATAGAGTCAAAATATAGGAAATAAAATGYTCATTATAGCATGGTCGTTTGAGACTATAGGAATTTCTTTACGCATTACTGAAYCACGCGTTTCGTTGAATTTCACGTGACTGTAGCAGTGGATACAGGTRACGGTACTCGTGCAAAAAATGCCGCGAAATAAATACCTTCTCTCGGCTGCAATCAAAKTTAATCGAAGGAAGATAGCTAATGCTGTCCTTGCTGGAATTAAAACATTTTATGTTAAAACAAAAAGGCTCAACAGACTGGAAAATTACAGTCACMCACGTCACAGATCAAGCTGGGACACACCTTCGTAAGGTCAGAAGTTTCCATCGAGAGTATTGCAAAATGCGAAGGAAGCGTAGGCAGTSTTCTTATGGCATCTTTCGTACACATCAATAAATCAATATAAAGGATAGTCTACGGTACATTATTACAGAGTCTAAAACCATACAAAAATTGCCTCAATGGCATGGCATCACTATGGTGTTTTGACATTGATACTTGTTGAAAAAAGGCTTTGTGTAACCCTGTAAAACTACTACTGGCGTCAAAAATACTGAGCTTTTATGGGTACTTGAAAATAAGACGGAACATGGAGTGGCTAGTTTATCACTCTTTGACCTACAGTGGTTGTATATTTACAAACATTTCATGATTCTTATCAATTTTATGAAAACTTAAAATGCTTAGGCTATTCATAGACTAGAATAGGAGCCAAATCTTGTCGGTAACCATAACAAAACCTTGGAATTGAAAAAATCTCTCTTTGMTTCAAGGTTTTAATGAGTAAAGCAGTCCAATCTTATCGCTAAACAAAACAGAATCTCGATTTAGGTATGTAAACAAACAGGTTGGCTTTTTTTTTTGCTGAGAATTAATTCGAGTTCTTGAACGCGTTTGCGCGAGTTTGCGCTACTTTTCAGTCAAGCACTCAGACCGATATTGAAGTGGTCAATGTGCAACGACGCCATTTTCCGGTAGAATATAGGATGATGGAAAATCTTTAGCGTCCACTAATTGTTTTTGGATTTCCTTCGATTTTCTCAAGTGATTTAAGCGGTCATAACAAAAAAAAAATAGTGTTTACATCACACTTCGGTTGCACACGACCAAGGTCGTGCATAGAGCTATCGATTTTTTGAGTCAGTTTTAACTAACTCAAATTAAAATATTTTACGAAAGTTCGTATTACGAAATATCATATGTTTGTTTGAGCATGCATGACCGGTCTATCCGAGAGTCGAGTGTTTCAAAGATTATTTCTCGACATGAGGCAAATTCGAAAATGAGCAAACAAAGTTCAATGTGCCTAGCCAGCTTTATTTATAAACTATTGAAAGTCTAAATGGAGAGACTTCCTACAATTGTAGTTCTTGTAATAGACAATTAAAGTACAAAAAGATAAATAAAACGAAAATTGTATCACGRATATGACTTGAAAACGTTGACTTCACTAGGCGACTTGTAAGTAAGGCAACATAAAGAATATTTGCTAGTCRTAAATAGCAAAAGGAAACCAAGACTTAAGTTAGGATTCCAGAAGMTATGTATCACGAGACATATTAGCAACAAGAGGCTATTGTAGCTGAAATTAGATTTAATGAAGCAACATGCTGAGACGTTGAAAATCTTCTCACGAAAAGCAGCCTTTATGGTACATTGVATGGTGTAAAAATAGCAACGATTATGGAATGCGGGAGACTACAGGAATGGAAATATCAAATTTGTTATTATGTAAATAAGCTGAAAATATTCGACTGTTTTACAAATGTACCTAACAAACACACAAACACAAAAGAAGAATAAAAAAACAAAACAAAATGACACCACTGTTTTTTAAGGCGTAATTAGTAATTAATATAAAATGACGCTAAAATAAAACAATTGTAAACAAATAATTTAGCTTAATCAGATACGAAGCGATTTATTAAGTGCGAGAAATTTGCAAAGAAAAAGTCGTGCTCATTCTARAGTCTTAAATAAACTGTTAAAATAATCCTTATGATTCTGCAATTTTAACAAGCTAAATCGGTATCAGGTGCGCTTAAAATAGATTAATTTATTTTCTAATGAAAACGCAGGGAGTACATGAGAACACGGGACATGTATTCATAACGATCAGTTGGTGATGATTTCGCAATGAAAGATATGTACTACGCTCGGTTGCCTCTCRGTAGTCACAGCATCCAAATTACCACACTGTCAGCTAATGTTCTTGTATTAAACAAACAATGATACTAGAGGTAGCGCTCAAACACCAAAAAACTATGAAAAGATTTAATAATCAAATAGTGTTTCAAGCTATATAGACTTCTGAAGCTTTTGCGTCACTTACGTGATTTGCAATGCATTGTGGGATTAGTGTCTAGAAAAACAAAACAAAACAAAAAGAAATCCGCCATGTTTTTTTTTTTTCAAACATGTCCTATAATGCATTGCCATACGGTATATGTCCGCGAGACGATGACGTTCACCACAGTAACCAAGATAAATTTTGAAGCGCGCGCTCATACAAAAGGCGGGCTTGAYATCATTTGTTTTTATATTTTTTCTTCTCTATTCTCTCCTCGTAATTTATCAGGAGTCAATAAACATATATGTAATAAAAATAAAATGCTTTTAGAATTAACGAATAAGTAGTTGTAAATTTGTTTTCCAAAAGACTTCACCGCATGATATGCAAGTTTCGCAAATAAGATTATGAATAGAGCCAAGAATAACTGCGTATCAAACCTAGAAGATGCGTTTCGTATATCACGAGTTTTACAAACAGCAAGTTGCTATTGTGGCTGAAATAAGGCTTAATGAAACAGCACGCTGAGTTATTGAAAAGCTCTCTTAAGCCCCTCTTAAGCACGGTTTRAGAACTTTTTACATTGGCTGAAAGAGGTAGACCACACTTAYGGAAATAACCCCAAGCTACATCTAAATCAGCCGAGCCTAAAATAGATCAATTAATTTTCTATAGCCAATACAAGGGGTAGGTAAAAATACAGAACATGTATCTATGTGTGATTAACTCGAGATGAATGTTATAATATTACATGCGGCACTCGGCATGAATGACACAAGTACTATTTAATACCTAACTTTAAATTAAAGTTTAAAGAGAAATTGTGTACGATAAGTAAAACTACAATCTATTGCAAAATTTCGTGAATTACCCCCCACGAGTGTGTTACCACAACCTCCCCTCCCTCTTTGCAATGTTGTTTTGCGCTTATTTGAAGATGGAATCGGTTGAAAATTGTCGTGCAGYACAATGCAGTGCGGAGAGGGGCCAAAGTGTTCCGTTTATTATGCACAATATTGTAGCACTTTGATCTGTTGTCAAGAAGACCAACAAGGAGGAGTACTCCACTATATATTTGCTATACGGGTACGTGCCACGCTATAGGGAATGGTTTGTCAGCTTTTAAGTCTGGGGTAGAGTATCCTTTTTTGACATTTTGTCTGGGATAGATTATGGCCTTTTTTGGGATAGGGCTACAATTTGGTMGTTTTAAACACCCCTACCCAAATTGTGGTGATAGCACCCTCCCCCTGCCACCCCCTKCCACCCCCCTCACCCCTAACTTTTTTGCATTATTGCATATTATATAAAACATCATTATTGAAGTTAATGTGAATTTACTGAGTTTTTAGTACTAGTACTGTCTGTTGGTACAGGAAATAATAGACCTAAAATTTTCATTTGGCATGGAAAACTAAGAGCAAAGCAGGCAGCTGAATGTAAATGCTGGTAAATAGATTAAAATGTTGCCTAAATTTTGTCACATGTATTATATATATTACTGTATATATCATATATTTTTTTAAAGATTTATTAGTCATTATTCACCTCCTGAAGATGTCAGTGTCCATTTGAAAGCTCAATAATGTTATAAAACAATTCCTCAGTGGTATTATAGCCTCRATATTCTATTATTTCACTAGTTTATTTTGTTTACAAAATATAAAAATGAAGATTCTAAAATAAAAATGCAGTAATGGCACATCTGTTAAAGATGCATTTCAAAACATACAACTTTCAGAAGTTCATCAGTGGTTTTTCGTACGCTATTTTGCTAATTCTTACTACAATAATTACTATATTACCATTGTGTTGCTGTCATGTCTTTGTGGTTTCACTATCATTAGGTACTGAAGATGTATTAGGTACTTCAAATCCTACTCTTTGTGCAATTGTCTCTATTTTACTCTCCCCAGCACCCTTGTAATACHGCTGTAATTCCTATTGAATATTGAAAAAAGTATCACTTTTTTGTGTAGACTTTGTAAGGGAAAAATGAAGCTGAGTAATGATCTTATATAGATATTTATAAGTAATACCATGGAACGAGGGAAATTAGTGATTAAATTTCCCCGAAACCGAGGGAAAATTTGCCCGAGGGACTTTTACAAATTTTCCCTCAGTTTCGGGGAAATTTAATCACTAATTTCACGAGTGACATGGTATTACTTTGTAATACTATTATCGGCGAGGAAGTAAGGAAACATCTTTGATATCATGTTCAGTTTTCTAGTCAAGGAAGCGTAAACAACGCCACCAAAATGCATAACTAGCTCTTTAGCATATTGCGCACGGCATTAGGGAAGTATAGAAGGCAAAGGAACTCCAATTTTCCTCATGAATAACATGATGGAAATTTAGAAGACAAAGGATTCTTTTGTCTTTTACTAAATTTCCCTCTATTTAATTTATGCAAGGGAGATTTAGTATTGTCTTTTACTAAATTTCCCTTGCATAAATTAAATAGAGGGAAATTTAGTAAAAGACAAAAGAATCCTTTGTCTTCTAAATTCCCCTCATGTTATTCATGAGGGAAATTCGGGTTTGTAAACCCCTCGGAAGACAATGGAATCCGAGGTTGATCATGGTATTACGATCATATTCATGAGAGGAAAATATTTTTTACATGTGAAGATATCGCTGTTGGCACAGTAACAGTAACTCGGCCTGCTATTTCAACAAAAAGATATTTGAGCTTTCAATTTTAACAAATAGAACATTACATGGTCACTTGGAGATATGGATTTATATTCTTGTACTAAATCAGAACAGTTAACCATTCAAAGATAAAATTTGTATTGTATTCCTATGTAATATTCTCTGTTATTATTACAATAATATTGATGCAACAAATCTTTGATTCAAGTCAGATTTTTATTGCATTGTGATTGGTTGGCTGATAGATTTGTTCATTATTCAAATATAACTATAGCAGACTGACTTATTGCTTGGCTGTATCATCAGCTTATTGATATCATTCACTGCTTGATTGACAGACTGTCAATCAAGAGTAACCAATAATCAAGGGAAAAGTTGGTTGACAGATTGAATAAGTTGATATGACCAAGGTATCTAAACCAAAACTGTAAAGGCTCCTCTGTAGACAGCTCTGATACCCCTTTTAGTATCCTTTTCGCACATCCTTTGTACCAATAACAGGGAGGTGTCTGAAACAACATTTATACACAGGGAAGCCAACAAACCTGCAGAGGAGCCTGGTAATAATAATAATAATAATAATGAAAACTTGTATAGCGCATATACAAGTCTGTTCTATGCGCTCTGATATAACTAACAAACAAATTAAACTCTAAAAGCTAAACTAAACAAATAAGTTTTGAGTTCTTTCTTAAAGGACAGCAAAGAGTCAATGTTTCTTAAATCAGATGGGAGAGAGTTCCATAAAGTAGGGGCAGCAACAGAGTAAGAGCGAGAGTAATGACATTGGTTCTAAAACATTTTTTAATGACTTCTACACAGGTATTATTTGCCTTTATCCAATGACAATTATTTTTAAATTGGCTTTGTGTGCATACTTCTTGTGATTTTTGCAATACAATACAATAATCACTTTGAMTGCTCCCTGTATGATAATGAAAGGTAGCCATTCCTTTGCATCCAAGCAAGACAACCTTTGAATGTGTAATGATAGTTCAACCTTCATTAAACCCACAGACAATTAATCACTGCTATCTATCATTGGATGTTCAACAGTCATTTTGCTTTGATGCAAATAAATTGCCTTTCAAGATGGCACAGAGAATGTACACTTAAGGGGAGTATTACCTGTTTTTTTCTTTCATTGGTCAGCAAACACAGAAAATTCTCGGCATTTCTACTACGTTCTTCAGCAACTTGCTCATCTACTGAAATAGACTGCCTGTACTCTGACATCAAAAATGAATATCCAAATATTTGTCTTGTAGTTCCCTGAAAAAGGCAAATATACAAAAATGAGTATATATTTGGGGCYAATTTTTYCCCTTAGCAACAGCTAGAGCATGCCTAGGACAATCAGTTTTGGTGAGAAAGAATGTCCCTTTTCCTCGCACGTCCCATGCAGGAGTCTGAGTCAGCAAACCAAACTTTTCATGTTTCAAAAAATTAAGGTAAAAGGTAGACATCTGCGTATAAATTTCACAACAGACTAAGATATAAATTRAAAATAAACCATACTCCAGATTTTTACCTTTGAACCATACAACAGCTTTAATTCTCTCATAATTCCACGAAGTGTTCTTAACCGCACTTTTGCCGCCATTTTGAATTTCRCTGACGACGAGAGACTGGGGAGCATTTGACAAAGGAAGCCCAAAAATAAAACAAGATAAAAAATACATTTTGTTGTTGTTGTCTCTTTTAGATATTTTGTGAATTTTTTATACAAAAATTTGCCTTAAGATATGTCTCAAGATTTAAGAGCTTCGTAGTTTTCAAAAAATGTTATTTTCTACTGATTTTCTCTAATTTCGAGTTAGAGTAACCGCTGACCAAGTTTTTAAAAGAAAATGGCGGCAAAACCAGAAAACACGTCTTTAAAAGAACTCTTTGAAAGGGCATCAGCTTTACAAGAGAACATYGAAAATAGCGATGAACCAAGTAATTCAGATAATTTACAGGTACGMTTGCTACTATTCAGGGTAACGGTGAACGACAATTATTATGCAAAGACCTGAAAAAAGCGTCAAATTTTGTTCTAGAAAAATATTTCTCTTGCACTGGAATGGCTGGCCGAAWCAACGGAAATGATTAACAAGATTGGACTCTTTAGTACTAATGAAGAACTAGAAGAAGTTGCTACAGCTGATTTAAGGTAGATATCTTTCTATGGTTCATAAACAGTTCCACCTAAGAAAGCCGCTTTACAACAAGGATGATAATTGCATTTTGGAGGGATAAAGAATGAATTATTAAAAGACAAAAGAACATATCCATTCCCACTATTCAATGGTGCTTTTTCCTCTTATGCAATTTTATAGAGTCTTCCATTGTCTTCCAGTGTCATGTTGAAATGTAGCCAGGCCTTTGTGTCGAAATGAGGCAGGAGCTGAGGCTTGCGATGATAGATACCTTATTTTCACACAAAAGAGAATTACTGCTTTTACTTCCAGTTGATACAGTCAAATACAAGTTTTTTCTATCTCATTGCATTAATTATACCTATGGTGTTATACTATTAATCAATAAATTATATTAACATGTATGGAGCACTAGAGCATGTCAATGTCGAGAGAGTTTAAACAACACCATAGAATGATAGTGATGCAGTGAGGTGAAGAGGTTATATTTGTGAAAGGTTATTGTGGAAGCATAACCCAATTATTCACATTTATCTATCATTGCAAGCCCAACTGCTGTCTCTCATTTGATGCAAAGGCAGATTGGCTGCCTTTCAAGATGTCCCTGGAAACGGTACATTGATTTGAAGTATTACTGCACACCAMAGCTTTTAGTGAGTGAGCCGATCATGATGGTGGTCACAGTGTGGTAATTTATTGCATACTTTTAAGTAAAAGTGGTTATTTAAAAGTGGTTATTTTGCATCTCTTGTGTATATAATATAGTGGATGTGAAACAAAAGCAACAGCATCTCCCCATTTATTTAAGACTGATCCAGGTGCTTGGTCCAGTTATGATTTGAGCTTTGTCTGGCCACTACTATAATGCAGTGGTGCAATTACAAAAAYTCTCACTATTATGGACACCCTTGGGACTGTAATTTAGTTTCCGCAGTAGTGAGAGTCTATAGTAAAGAAAGTTACTTTCAGTCATTTCTTTGTATTTTTTCGCTGGGGATTCAGTATTTTACTGTCTGCAATATCAAGGTGTCCATTATAGCAGGGTGTCTGTAAGGCAAGAGTTGACTGTAGCACCATCTAGGTTTGTTGACATTTTTCAGACACTCACTGCTRCATCAGTGATCTTCAAATTTAATGTTCAGAGTGCCAATGTTACATTTTATTATGAATAACCAGTCAATACCAGGCAATCTCTCACATAAAAAAGTGTAATATCTTTCTCATATATTGAAAATCAATCATGAAAATAATATGCTACCATGGATTCTCTATAAAAATTGTGCTATTTCATATCTTATGGATCTAATGTGGAATTAATTATAATGTAATTTATACAACATTTTTATAGTCATGTGAAGATATGAGTTTTATCTTGAGTTCAAGCATTTAATTGATGTCTCATGATGCTTATTGATAATAAATGGCTGTCTTTCTTTACCTTCTAGGTACTTCCTCTTACCAGCTCTTTCTGGTGATCTCATTCTACGTCAGTTATCAAATGACAGAATATCAAATGTGAAAATTGCAAAGGTTAGCACATTAGAATGAGTTTTTGAAACTGTTTAATGAATTTTAAGTTGGTAACATTATTTTTTTCTTTAGATATATTTTATAGATTTTTTCAAGAGATGTAAAGATTATGGAATTACTGACCAGGTAATGACCTGGATATATATTTATACATGGAGTTATCTAACTACAATTATTATTGAAGTGAAAAGTCAGTGTTGAAGGTCAATGTTTTGGCTTTGGAACCCTATATTCCATTTTTCYCTTTTGAAGTTTTGGTATTAGTAAAAAGCATTTGCTATTCTCACKCTCAATTGAGAAGATCCCTGACAAGTGATGTTATATAAGTGGGCATTATTTCACAGACACAACATGCGCCTGGAATAAACTTCTACTGCAAGACCCTATGAATACCCATTTATTCTCATAATTTAGGGACATTCCTTTCAAATGGTCTATTAGGCATTTTTGGTCATTACTGCAAAAAGACTAAGTGCAAAAGGTTATAGGCKTGTTCATTGCCTGAAAAATTGCAGCAAAAATTGCCAGATTGAACTGGCCTTAAAACTTTAAAATGATGAAAAGTTAAGCCAAACAATGTAAGTTCCAAAAGTATTCTCTTCTGGAGACTTCTTAAAATTAAAAAATTGTCAATCATTCATTGTTCTCCAAAAGTCTTTTAGTACAGTGTAGATAAGAAAGTTTTGTGTCATGCTGAGGAGTGTGGTCCTACCATGTAGTCCAAAGACAACTTTCTCAAAATTATGACTGAAAGTGGCATCCCTCAGTTCTCTAACTTCAAGTTTCTTGTTTTGAGATAAAAAAAAGTGAAAAAGGGGAATGGTAGGAAAGACAAGTGTATTAAATTACAAGGACAGTCTCTGCAGTATTTCAACAGGGAKMCCAGAAAGATKGAAGAGATTTTTTTTTTAGATTGACTTAAAGGAAATGCTGTTTTCCATTGGATGATATAGTTCAAAATATTGGTCCTGTATGTTTTTTAAGTTTTAGGGTTAGAATTTCCAGTTTTCTCTTCAATATAAATTATAATGATAATCTTAAATTTCTGTTTTGGTTTCTTCAAGTTTTTGTTTTGATGTTGTTTTTGATGTTGTTTGGTTTTTGTTCAGCCCAATAGCAAAACACATACAGTAATCAGCATGAGCCATGTTTAGATGTGCTCTAAATGTGCGCAATGTGGGATGTTGTGTGCAKACACTCAAAGCAAGTCCCAACATGTTGGATATTCCAAATGTTATTCATAAATTATTATATTTCTTTGTGTGTCTTTCATAAGCAGTAGTTAGCACTTTTTGTTAATCTAGCTCAGCAACACTGATATTTTTAATAAAACAACTGCTTAAACGTTACAGCAAGGATTCTTATCATGGTTCTTATGAAATAWAGTTGACTTTGGACACACTGATTTACAGATTTTAAAAGATCTGTGGTTTTGGTGTGAACTGACCTTAATCAGTCATCCAAGTGTCACTGATGAAGGTCAAAGGGACAGAACAAAAGATCAGTTTTCAAATTATTAAAAATGCTAAAGTAAAGGTTATGTAGGTTTTAGTAAATGATCCTTATTTCCCAATAGGATTGGTCACTCAGTCAATCCCATCAGCTAAATATTTGTTGCTTTTTTCTTTATTGTTAATATCATCATCATGGTCATAATTAATATTAACTATTATTATGGTTGGTTTTATTGATTTTAACTTTAAAATGTTTCACTTATACATTTTTTTTGAAACTTACTATGAACTACCAAGGCAACAGTTTCTAAGCCAGGAATAAATGTCTCAAGGTGTTAATTTTCTTGACAATTTCACATTTTCACCGAGGTGTTTCATTAATGTTTTGTTAATTGTTTTTTCTTGTGGGCTAGGAATGATAAAATAATCATTTATTTATTTGTTTTTTTTCAATCATATAGTTTTTTCTTTTTGAATATATATTTTATGGACCACACATGCTAATTTCTTGTTTTGCTTACATGCTTTTATTTTGATTAAAATATCTCTATGCATACAGAGCTAAGTGCTAAGTAATCTTTTTATCTTTTTGGGGTATATAAATTTTATCATAATATCACAACTGTTCCATTAGAAACACCAAATACAGAGCTTYCTTTCACACTTTTGTAGTTTGATTTTTGTTATCTCAGTCTTCAGTTGTTTTTAGCACATCAGGCTTAGACAAAAGTATTTTCATTTTTTATTTTTATAGCTTTTTTATATCAAGTTTCTTTTGGATGAATTTTGGACTTAACATTCATTGGACATAACAAATCTCTAGAGGGTGTAAGTCCATATTTTTAATAACTATACAATTTATGTCTGTTCATCAGGACATTGTACAGTTATCAGAAGCTAACACAGCRCTATTACCTGGAGCAGAAGGTCTAAAGCAAATGGCAAAATCACGTGAGGAAAAAATTAGAAGATACAAAGAACAAAAACAACAGGAAAATAGACTTCTGGTACTGTATTTTTTTCAAGATTAATGTTTACCCTATAAATTGCTATTTTTGTTCCCGGCTTGATTTGCAGGGGAGTATACAGGGGTTTTCCCCCTTATGTTAAAGACAAAGTCCTTGAAATATGAAACTTTATTTGCCAAATCTATAGAATGTTTGGACAGCCCAACAACAATGTTGCAGCCAATCTCCTTCTTCTTCAAACTCTTGAAACCACACACATACACAARCTTGAAGCCCCACCCTAACTACTGTCCTTAATCAAATCTCTGCATATGCCTCTGACTTGGGTATTAACTTTAAAAAGTATGGGTGCAAAAATTAATCTCATAACCTTAAGCCTAATTCGTTTTTATTACCTTGCCCAATGCTCCATGTCCCCCAATCCTGCTATTTTTAAACTGTTTWTGGACTTTATCCACAAGTAATAAACATCGGATTGGTGAATTTAAATACTGGTCTATTACTAAGATCATATCCTTGGGTAGAGAAAATTCAAATGAACAATCAATTTACATTTAGCGTGAAAATTGATGAAAAAAATCCTAGTATCGTWCTGCAAGTTCTGGTAGTTTTGGAGCTTAATMTGTTTGTATTACACTGACAGCTAACTCTGCAAAGTAATGTCAYCTGTCTACTCATACTGGCTTAATTACATGGAATAAAATTCAGTCCTTTATTATATTTTATCAGGAGTTAAAAAAGCATTTAGATGGAAAAGGTTCAAAAACTTCAGATGATGAAACACAGGTAGTTTAATAATTTGCAGTACCTAGTTGTGAAATCTGATACCATATGGTCATATCAGGCCATCCAGGACATCAGTCCATTGTCCAAGAAACTGCATGCATTTCCTTGTTTTTGTTGTACTTTGATCCCAAGTTTGACATGTAGTATAACATTCAATTTTTTGTTTTGTATTTTGCAATCGGCTTCGGGTCATTTTCATAGATAAGAACCTGGGTGTAAATTGGGTGTGTAAGTGTGTTCTAAAAGGCAACAACTTGTTCTGCTAATCTTGCTCAATTTTATAGATTTATCAACAAGAAATGTCCACTATGATTAAGTTTATTATTGATGTTTTATACTTTTTACTTTTARCTAAAATTTCTTTTTATTGTAGAGAGAATATTACCTGTTGTTGATCAAGACCTGGATTAACAAATCTTCAGAGCATCTTGCAAGTATAAAAGGTAAATTAGTTTTTTAGTAGGTGACCCTTAGTGTCTTATATTATACGCTTTACTAATTTTAGAATTCATTTATACTCACAATAGATGAACTTGAAATTTTGGAACACATGGAAAAAATGAAAATAGGGAATGTGAAGAAAGATGAAAGTCAACCTCAGAGAAAGGTATTTATTTATTAAAGGAAAATTATTTKTCTTCTCTCTGACATGCATTTTTATATATTCACCTGCACAGCTTTTTCATTGTCACCTTACAAAATAATTTAAAGTGTTTTTACACCATTTSCACTCTTTGCTGGTCAGGGTAACTAGTTCAAGACTTTCTGAGAATGTTCTTATAATAAGTTATTTTTGCCTTGATTTGATAAGATAAAATAAAGCAATAAACAAACAAAAAAATGCTGTTTTGAATRCTATAGTTTGTCAGTTATGAATTCATTATTTTTCATCAATTCTTGTCCAGTTTTACATTGGAAGCCTCTGCCTTCTCTCRTGGCTKCCAGTTACATAATCTTGCAGTTACGTAACCACCATTAATTGTTTTTAAACTGGGCCTGTAACATGGTATTTTTAAAATAGACAGAAAAAWTAGTGACCCCTTTGAACTGGGGCTCTAGGTACAACTTTATGTGAWAATTGTTTTGTCAAAATATATATGCATTTGAAATATAATTCTGCAAACCTAATCAAATTACTGTCTTTTAAAAACACTGGAAACTGAAATTGTAGAAATTGTGATCTTRAAATCTGTTTTTAACTGAAGTATTATAATATTCATGATATATTGAGAAAATGAAAATTTTCAAAAACTCAGTGTATAATGCATTTCTTTCATTCATTTGTTTCATCCCATTATTTTCATATATTTTTCCTTCCAGTCATCTATTAGCAAAACAACATTTTTTCATCATTTATTTATTCCAAATTAGATTTCATCTGAAAGTAATAAGAATTGAGAAWGAGAATGGAGATTTAGAATAGAGTAAGGATTATGAGATTCAATTTTGACAATTATGTTTAGACAATATTTTGCTGGGAAATTAGAAATTAGAAACCCATTTTGGGAAAGGCTTTCACAAGCAACGAAGCCAAAACAAGTTTGTGTTCAGACTTAGCGCAACCCCACTGGCCGTTGAAGTATGCAGCGAAGTATGTACAGTTAGGTCTTCAAGTATAACACCCATTCCGCGTACGCTGAYATCAAAACAACTTTTATTTTAAGTGCAAATTTAAACGTTCCTAATGAGCAAGCAAATTGGCCGAGGACATCTTTTACCGGTCAGTATTCGTTGTGAGGCAACGGGGCTGCAACATAGGCTATAATCAGCAGTGTGATGAAAATATTTTAAATGTACACTGAAGGAAAGCCAATCTTCAAAGACTGAGTCAAACAATCTTTAGGTATGCAAACACTACATGTCAACATTATTATTGAGRAATACAGAGAGAGACGTGATAGAATGCCATGTTTTGCGTTCATTATATTGATTGTGAAGCAACGGCCATGGCCATGAATGACACTTGTTATGACTGTACCCGTTGGGACAGAAATGGGTATTTTTTTTAGTTATATTATGTAATATTGTATACCCTTTC